TCTAGTGTTTAAAGTATTACATACTATTCAATTTTTTTAAGATTTAAGCCTCTTTCGTAAAACAATTAAAATCTAGCAGATAGTAGATAACAGATATTGTAGAGTAGTAATGGGTAGTTGATGTAGGTTACAAGTGGCAGATGGCTAGTAGAAAGCAGAAAGTGGGTACATGATATTGGAAATCAAAAAATAAATAGCAAGTATAGGATAACAAATAGCGGATATTGATTGATATAAATGTTTCGTTATATTATGATTTATGGTTGCTGTTTGAGATTAAATGATTAATAAATATGTTTAAAAGTAATTCAATATATTTTTTAATATTTTCTATTACTAAAATAATTAATTTTTTAAAAAATAAATATAAATAAATAAATAAAATATACAAGTGTGAATCACACACTCCTTTTTATATTTAACAAAAAAATTATATTATTTTGCAATAAAGGCAAAAAAAAAAAAAGCTTATAGAATTAGCAAATAATTAATTATTTTTTTGCATTAAAAATTTTTTTATTAAGTAATATAATTTTTTAATGATAAGTTATTGTAAAAGTTTATAAGATAATAATCATTCAATGTTATTAAAGATAAAAAAATGAAGTTGAATCCAATTATCGTAGAATTAGCAATTAAAACAAGGTGATAAAAAATTGAATATTTAAAATGGATAAATTTGTTAACAAAAATAAAAAATTCAATTCCAATACTAGTTTGGGGAAACAAGTTACTTAGGCTAGCTTTTTCAATCATCTAGGGGATTGAAGGCATAGCTTGATTTTATTGGGCAAGATTGACTTACTACCTAAAGGCCAAGGTGAGCGGTAAAGTGTCGCCTTGCACAAAGGTGCCACCCCTTTTTGCAACACCACATCAAACTCAACTAGAACAGAATGCCGACTCAAAATGAAAGGAGTGTAGAAAGTCCATGCTACCCATGATGATTTAGTTATGCAAGTTGCAAAAGAGAAGTAAGTTGACTATTAAGCATCACATCAACAGAGTCGATACTAGTTTCCAAGAGGAAGAATATAACACAATGATCATCGCTATGTAGCTAGATGTTAGAGTATACTCTATGAGCCAACTAGGTTGGCAATACCATTTTATGTACTTGTGATTACACTTATAGTAGTAATGGTATTCTTTAACGAACAATAACTGTTATTCTTCTTTATACATTAAATTTCAATAAAGTTCTTAAAATGTTTACTACATCAAAAGGTAATAACAACTATTGCTATTAGTGAAAACCGTATGATGCGATAGCAACATTCTTAATTTATCCATTAGTAGTGTATGTCATTGAGAGGGGGCATCAATGACATAAAGACTATCATGTGATACTTTGTTAGATGGCAAAACGTTTTTTTAATAAATCATGTATTACATGTGGATGACTCAAAATAAATAAATGCACTGGACTAATCTATCATGAGACTCTACATACATGTGTCATTAGTATCTTTTCAGCTATGATATGAAAGTAAGTGATCCTTTGATTTGAGATCATTGTTATTCTATGTGAGGACATGTGTAATTTAATGCTATTAAAAAAGCCACTTCGAGGGGTTACAAGTAATATAGTTATTGGATGTATCACAAATCACTTAAGAGTAATGAGCAAGTCAAGATAAGATTTGTCCTTTTTAAGTATATGAAAGAAGATATCTCTAACACTTTGATTGAGTTGAGATTACTTGCAAAAGTCCATGGGCATGGCAAGAATGAAGACTTATTCAATAAGTTGGTCCATCCCAAGACTCAAAAGAAGATATATCAAACTTCAAGAATGATGACACATAGCATGCACTCATCTTACTTGATGGAGATATCAATGACAAATGAATTGAATTACACAATTGCATCAGTCATAGGAAGTTTCATCGAAGCCATCAACAATTTCTGTCATTTTAGGTGGCCATAATGTGTTGCTAAATATCGCTCTTGGTGTGTGAGTATTTTTCACTATTATCGTGATGGAAATTTAAAGGGACAGACAATTAGTGTATTTTAGGGATTGAGATTTCTATAAATACCAATTTATGGATAAAAATAGTGTTTTCAGAAGATAAAGAAATGGTTAAACCCCCAAATTAGTTCCTCAACTATTGTACCAAGTCTTAAGTTGGGGCCTTAACTATTATACAGACCCTTGAGTTGGTCCCTAAACTAAAAAAATCCCTAACTTAGTCCTTAAAGTTTTGTAATTTGGCTCCGAGTTAGTCTTTTTGTTTAAAATCTGCTGATTTCTCCTGTTAATTGATAGAGAGAAGAATGACATGTCCAAAAATGTTGACATGTGAGATTGACAACATGGATAAATAAATGACGTGGCTAAAAAAAATATAAAAAATCCCTTTTTCCTTTTTTTTTTTTTCCTCTCCTTTTTCCTTTTTCCCTTTCTCTTTCCTCTTCCTTTCCTTCACCTTTTACAAACACTAAACCTTTTGAAACCACCTTTGCTCAACTTCCCATTAATCGATGACAATTTCCTTTGTTTTTTTCTTGATTGGCTCCATCAAAACCACCTTTATCCATCACCAAATCAATTCATCTTCTTCCTCTTGATATTTCTCATCCAACTCTTCCAGATTTGGATCATCTGGTTGTGTAAGATTGCTTTCATGCCTAACCATTATTCAATGCTAAATCTTCATCAACCCAAGTTTCTCTTTAATTCTAATATATGGTTTCTCTTAATTTCCTTAGATCCCTCTTTCTTTCCTTTTCCCTTTCTTTTGGTAAGATTGTGTTCTGGGTTACCATTTTGGTGGAAGATAAAGAGCAAGAATCCATTACTTTTTGCCTATACCATGCCTTTGTCATGAAAAGAAACCTTGGGTGACCTCAATTTCCCACTTGGTTGCAGACCTATAATAGTCTCCCAAACGTAGTAAATCCCTCATAATGGAGACTAGTTTTCCTACATCTCTCATCAATCTCTATCAAGAACCATGATCGCTTGGAAAAACCCTCTAAAAGGAAACCCATCCACCAGATTCAAACCTTGACTACCTTGTTAGTTGTTATTGCCTCTAAATTCATCATGGTCATGATTGTGTAATTTGAATCACAAGGTAGAAGATAGAAAGGTTGAGGATGTAGTTGGAGTTGATAAAGAATGTGTTAGCACAAACATTCCAAGAGGGGAAGGCGATTGTAGTCTTCAAAATTTTCCTTTTTTCCCAACCACCAAATGAAAAACAAAGAGATAAGAAAACAATGGCTTGCACAATTGATTTGATAAAGATTCGACCCAACTACTTGGCACTTAATCTTTTACCTTGGCTTCACTCACTAAAGATTTCCTCCACACTCTTTGCAAGTGCTTAAGAGTATCTTAAAGGAGTTATCAAATCTTTTTACAATGTGTTTTTCACTCAAACTCTCCCCCTTACAAAGATCCTCAATAAACCTCACTTGGTTTCTCTCTTGAAGACTTCACTCACTTTTAAGTATCACTTTTTACAACTTCACTCACCTTCAAGATTACAAAGAAAAGGTAGAAAGAAAGATTACAAAGGATATGATTTCTCTAAGATCTAATGTACGAGTGTAAACTCAAAACTTTTGAAAAAAATTTACAAATCTAAGCATAAATCTTGCTGTAGATGTTCTAATATGTATCTCAATAAGCTTGCAATATCCCAAAATTTATGAAATTTTAGAATTTAAGTTAAGGACTGTTCTGGTAGAAATTATTATTTTTGGGCCTAATAGCTAAAATTCATAAATCTAAGGGGGTTAAAAGTGAAGCTTGGTGATAAAAGGGGCTGAGCTGATTTTCCTTTTTCCTCCCCTTGCCTTTTTTGTGTTTTCCCCAACTCTTCACTAGAACCTTGCTTCTAAAATCCCTAGCTTGTGCCCTACCTCTTTTTGTTGAGAACCAAGTGAGAGTTGGCCTTTTTCTTTCTTCTCTTAGCAATGGTTTGAGATTTATGAGTTTATGATTCTCAAATATGTTGTACCTATGATTTTGATGATTACAAAACACATTTGAGTGACTAATTGGTTTATTTAAGTGTATAGTCAAGTTGCTAAAAGATTAACTTGGACTGCACTTAAAAATGGACCAGAAAGGCTTCAGTATATGCAAAGAGCCAGCTCTTGAAAGCTGCAGTCGGCTATGGTGAAATGGAAGTGCAGAGAGCCAGCTCTGGAAGCTGCAGCCGGCTTTACAGGCAAAAATTTGAAGACCGTTGTTTGGCACGCGCGGAGAAAAGACGCAAAGTCGGCTCCAACTTTGCAGCCGGCTGTGAGGGTGCATTTAATGCACAACGGTCGAGTTGTTTGAAGATTATTTAATGTGTTTGAAGTTAGAATCCCAAAGCTGGCTCTAGGCTTTGCAGTCGGCTGTGGAAGAAAACAGAATGTGCAGGAATCCCGCAAAGCCAGCTGCAGAAATGGTGAGTCGGCTGTGTAGAACCGGCTCTAGGAAGCTAAGCCGACTCTCCTGACAATCTTGTAACTCGATTTTTGCGTCCTGCAGAGCATTTAATGACCCCCAACGGCTAGAAACGGCTATTTTCGAGCAAAGGGCTATAAATATAGTTGGTAATATATTTGAAAAAGTTTAGAGAGCATTGTATTGAATATCTTTACCTACCAACTTGTGCTTTAACTTGAGATTTTGATCTTTGAGAGATCTTTATTTGTAATCCTCTTCTTGTTCTATTTGTGAGTAATCATGGGGTTGTGGCTATTCTTTCAAGAGTGATTTGTAAAGAGGATTGTTTGGGTTTAAGTGTAAAGGGGTGAGATTTGAGAGAAACACCCTTCTTCTTGTAAAAGGATTGAGTGGAGAGTGTGGAGGAAATCCTCAGTGAGTGAAGCCAAGGTAGAAGACTAGGCTCCAAGTGGTTGGACCGAACCTCTATAAATCATTGAGCAAGCTCTTCTTCTTTACTTTTTTAAATTTTGGTTTTATGGTTGCAAAAAGGGGAGAATTTTTGGAACTCCAATTCACCCTCCCTCTTGGAGTACATTGAGTCAACAATTGGTATCAGAGCAAGGGCTCCAATTTGAAGGTTTAACCACCTAGGAGTTGATCAAGGATGGCTCAATTTCAAGCTTCTCAACCACTTGAAGGTTTGTATACCACAAGGCCTCCTTTCTTTGATGGGACTAATTACAATTATTGGAAGAATAGGATGAAGGTCTTCATGCTTGCAAATGTGCCCAAGGTATGGATTGTGACTATGAAAGGTCCATATGTACCTATGAAAGTTGTTGGAGAAAGAGAGGTGTCAAAGGAAGAAGTTGAATGGAATGATGAAGACTTGGGGAATATCATGATCAACAACAAAGCAATCAACATGCTTCAATGTGCTCTTAATCCAACGGAATTCCATAGAGTATCCGAATGTGATACGGCCAAGGAGATGTGGGACATGTTGGAGGTAACACATGAAGGAACAAGTCAAGTGAAAGAGTCAAAAATCAATAGACTAATTTACATGTATGAGCTTTTCAAGATGAAACCGAAGGAGAGCATTCAAGATATGTATACAAGATTGAATGATATAGTCACCAATCTCAAGGCTCTTGGTAAAGTTTATCCTTCTCAAGAAGTGATGAGGAAGGTTCTTAGGAGCTTGCCTAAGAATTGGGAACCCAAGAAGACCGCAATTGAAGAGTTTAAGGATCTCAACACTCTCAAGCTTGAAGATCTCATTGGAAAATTAATGACATATGAGATAGAAGTTCAAGTTGATGGTGGAGTTGAAGTAGTTGAGAAGAAGAAGAAGGATGTTGCATTCAAGGCCTAGCAACCAAAAGGAAAAGAGTGAAGATGATGCTAGTGATGGTGAAAACATCTCCACCTTGATCTCTAGAGAAGTGAGGAGATTCATGAAAAAGAACATCAAGAGCAAGCTTGAAAAAAGAGATGAAGGAGAGTCTACCAAAAGGAGTGTGAAATGCTATGAGTGCAAGAAGACGGGGCACTATAGAAATGAATGTCCCAATTTGAAGAAGGGTGAGAAGAAAGGCAAGAAGTGCATGAAGAAGAAAGCTTTTGTTGCCACTTGGAGTGATGATGAGACTAGCTCAACGGAAAGTGAAAGCTCCTTGGAGAAAGGTGTTGCAAATCTTTGCTTCATGGCTCAAGAGGATAGTAACCATCATGAGGAGGTAAACTCTAACTTCTCTAGTTCAATTAATGCAAGTTCATTTGAGTATTCTTATGATGATGTATGCAAAGTTCTTGATTGCTCTATGAATGACATTAAGAAACTAGGAAATTATAATATTGCTCTTACTAAAACCATTTCATTGCTTAGGAATGAAATTGAATCTCTCTCAAAACAAAATGAGGTTTTAGTTAAAGAGAATGCCTCTTTAAATGGTGAGATTGCTTCTTTAAAGAATGAGGAGTCTAATAATGCTTTGAAAAAGGAAAATGAGGATTTAAAGAAGGAAAATGAGGTCTTAAAGAGAAAAGCTTGTGATCTTGAGAATGTGATTTCCAAATTTACCTTGAGTAAAGAAAAATTTGATTCTATCTTAAAATCTCAAAGAAGTATTTATGACAAAGGGGGCATTGGATTTGATTATTCTAAAAAGCAAGACTTTTAAGAATTCTTTTGTAAGAGCAAGTCAATCCTCTCATCCTAATGTTACTTGCTATTGTTGTGGTGCAAAGGAACACTTTGCTTATGTATGTCCTTTGAAGAGATTGATAGCTCAAGGTAAAGTGAAGCAAATTTGGGTACCAAAAATCAAAACTTAATTTTGTTTTGTAGGTAAGGTTGATGGCAAAGTCAAAAGAAGAGTAAGGTTGATCTTGATAAAGACTTATGCCTCAACAAGAATGTTGGAGTGAAAGTTCAAAGAAAATTTGTTTTTGAATGCTCCACTTATGTGCTCAAATTGTTATTATTTATGTTATTGCATTTATTCATTGAGTATAATTACTTCAACATGACTATTAATGATTTGTTTATATGTGTTCACTCTTTGATATATATGCTTGTTGAATATGATATCATTTGATGTGATTATTAAAATTTATGCAAATTAATGAGCTTGGCATGTTAGATCCTAGTGCTTGATATGGCTTTTGAAATTAATGTATTTGCTTATTAGAATTTATGCATATTGATGACCTTAGTATGTGTACCTTGATTATAATCATGTTATTTAATGATGCACACATTGATATATGACTAAAATTGCATGATTTAATAGTTGATGTCCAATTTAAACTTGGTAAAATGAAGGAATATCAAATTAGGTGCATTTTCTTCAAAACAGTCCCAAACCTTTTATTTGTACTAATCAAGGCCAATAGAGCCGGCTGCACCTTCTTCACAGCCGGCTCACCCAAAATCCCGAGAGTTTTCTCTCTCTAAGATTGAGCCGGCTCCAAGACTAAAGCCAGCTCTTCGTCAGTCTTTAAATCTTTCGAGCTTTTCTCTCTTTGAACTAGATCTGTTATTTTCTCAACCCGTAGGCGAATCCGACCCAAACCCGATCACTTGTGTTATCATGTTTTGTGAATGGTAATGGCATCACTTGTGTTATCATGCTTAATGGTTGTCTATGATTTTGATGATTGTATGCTCTTATTGAGAGGGAGCATTTTGTGCTTAAATTACTCCTCTTAATGGTTATCATGCTTAAATGCTTTAAAAGATTGATGTGTATGAATTAAGGGGAAGTTTGTTGATTATGTGCTTTTTGATAAATGACAAAAAGGGGGAGAGAATATGCTGAATGTAATGTCATTTTCTAGAGTATCTTTGTGCTAAAATTCTGCTTAATATTGAAGTATATATGTGCTTTCATTAATTAATTTTCAAAGTGTTTTGTCATCATCAAAAAGGGGGAGATTGTTGTACCTATGATTTTGATGATTACAAAACACATTTGAGTGACTAATTGGTTTATTTAAGTGTATAGTTAAGTTGCTAAAAGATTGCAAGTAAACTTGGATTGCACTTAAAAATGGACTAGAAAGGCTTGAGTATGTGCAGAAAGCCGGCTTTTAAAAGCTGCAGCTGGCTCTGGTGAAATGGAAGTGCAGAGAGCCAACTCTGGAAGCTGCAGTCAGCTCTACAGGCAAAAATTTGAAGACCGTTGTTTGGTGCGTGCGGAGAAAAGACGCAAAGCCGGCTCCAACTTTGTAGCCGGCTGTGAGGGTGCATTTAATGCACAACAATCGAGTTATTTGAAGATTATTTAATGTGTTTGAAGTTAGAATCCCAAAGCCGACTCTAGGCTTTGCAGCTGGCTGTGGAAGAAAACAGAATGTGCAGGAATCCCGTAAAGCCGGCTGCAGAAATGGTGAGCCGGCTCTCCTGGTAATCTTGCAACTCGAGCTTTGCGTCTTGCAGAGCATATAATGACCCCCAACGGCTAAAAACGGCTATTTTCGAGCAAGGAGCTATAAATATGGTTGGTAACAGATTTGAAGAAGTTTAGAGAGCATTGTATTGAATATCTTTACCTACCAACTTGTGCTTTAACTTGAGATTTTGATCTTTGAGAGATCTTTATTTGTAATCCTCTTCTTGTTCTATTTGTGAGTAATCTTGGGGTTGTGACTATTCCTTCAAGAGTGATTTGTAGAGAGGATTGTTTGGGTTTAAGTGTAAAGGGGTGAGATTTGAGAGAAACACCCTTCTTCTTGTAAAAAAATTGAGTGGCTCCTTTAAGCCACCCTTGTTGTTGTTAGTGGAGAGTGTGGAGGAAATCCTTGGTGAGTGAAGGCCAAGGTAGAGGACTAGGCTCCAAGTGGTTGGACCGAACCTCTATAAATCATTGAGCAAGCTTTTCTTCTATACTCTCTTTAATTTTGGTTTTGTGGTTGCAAAAAGGGGAGAATTTTTGGAACTCCAATTCACCCCCCTCTTGGAGTACATTGAGTCAACAAAATAATGATGAAAAACCCAGATCTTGTTATTGTTATTCCCCAATTTTCTAGCCTATGTCGGGTTCTTTAGTAATATACAAGGAGGCCGCCACTTTCCACTGCTTTTGGGTAAGAAATTAGCCATATTTCTCATCTTTACATTGTTGATTTGAGTTGGGTTAAGTCTAATCCTTTAGGGTTTTCAAATTGGGATTTCTTCTTGTAGTTTCCTCCTTGGTTTTGCCTTAGTGCCACTAGATCTGATCCCTTTTGCTAGATATTTTGGCAGCTCGATCTTGTGTTAGTATTTTGCCCATAACTCTTTCTATAGTTATTGGATTAGGTTCATTTTTAATTCAATAGAAATTTAAGAGATAGCCCTACAACTTTTAAGTTGGACATTTAACCTAATTAAGTTGTTTTCATAGTGAAAACTTTGCTACAACTTCAATTCCTGTTGACGGACTTAGCTGGTAGCTCCACCCTAAGTCAGTATTTTGGCCATAACTTTCTTTGTAGATGTGGATTAAGGTGATTCTTGAGCCTATAGAATGCTAAGACATAGGGTTACAATTTATCTGTTAACCACTCAACCTAGATTAGTTAATTTCTGGGTGCGAATTCTGTTGGAATTTCCAATTTGAAATCTAACCAAAATTGCTCTTAAAAGTACCTAGAAAATTGCTTTCCTTTCTGCTTTATTCTCATTGTACCTATTGCCATATTGCATCATCATTTTAGATTTTTAGTTGTTTTTCTGCTCTAAAACCTTTTGTTATTGCTTTATATTAGCTACCCTTTTTGCTACTGCTTTTCTACTTAAATGTTGTCCATTTCTGCCTAATTCTAGCTTGTGTTCTACACTATTTTTTCTACTGTCTTTTTGCCCAAAAATCCCTGTTGTTCAAGGTTTTTTCCAAGTATTTAAGACTGCTTTAAATGGCAAAAATACCCCACTTTATTACCCAATATTTCTGCTAGTGTCTAGGATGGTTTTAAGTTTGGTTTCTCACTATTTCTATACTTTATTCTACCTAGAAAATCTATTTGGGATACTTGCTATTTTGTGTGTCTTTTTGGAACTGTTTTAAGCATATTTTAAGTATTCATTTGATGTGGTATAGATTCTAAATCACCTCAACAGCCTTGAGTCCTTGAAATTCTAGCTTGATGTATACCTACAAGATGAAGTAAGTAAAACTAAGGTAAATACCATTGGATTTTAAGGTAAAGGTTTTAAAAGTATAATTTTGATCTATTTTTGAAGTGGTGGTGGGACTAAACATATTTTATACAAAAATGAACATGATTGGTTTGAAAGGAAAGTATTATTGTTTTTATTGATTGAGTATGCCTAGTTGGAGTTTACTGAATTGTTCTAATAACCTGAAATTAGTTTGTAAATTATAGATTTTCTTGTAACTCCTGCCCGGTTTAGTCTATAATATGGTTGTGTTTTATTGTGCCCGCTAGTGGGAGGTTTATAAATGCTAGCACATGTCAACATGTATTCTTTGAAACTGGTTTGTCTTATTATTCCTACGAGTGGGATAGTACACTGGTTATTGCTGTGCCCACTAGTGGGAGGTTTATAAACGCTGGCCATGATCTATAGAGGAGACGTCTATTTCATTCCCATACTTGTACCTGTTTTTCTTGAAACTTGATTACACTTGTTGGCATGTTATAACTTTAAATAAGGGCTATCCATATATTTGCTTACTGCGTTATGTCACATAGTTTTTTTTCCTTGTCCACCATTTCAGGTAGTGAGATCGAGACGTTGGAAACCAAAGGGAGTGAAGAGCTAAAAGGCTAGCCATTTGTATTTTGGACATAGATTTTGAGATATAAATCATTCTTTTGTAACTTAGATTTTATTTTGAGATATTGATCTAAGTTTATGTGAATTGTTAGATTTAGCAAGTTCCAAGCCTTATGCATTTGTGGGATTCTTTCACAAGAGTACGATGTCTATTTTGCTCCCAGTTTTGGAGGGTGACAAGTCTTTCCAAGGGGTTTATTAACCATATTTATCCTCTTTAGGCCGAAACTAGCCTTTTGGAGACGTTGGAGTGCATTAAATGCACTGAAATGTCCGTTGCTCAAAATTCAAATTTCTAGCTTATAGTTGATTGTTGCCTTTTATAGTTGACTTCATGGTACTTTTGTAATTTTTTACAACTTCTTGATTTCAAATTCTAACATTCAATGTTAGAAAAATTTTACTTCTAGTTAGGGGTGTTCGCTGTGTGGTTTGGTTCGGATTTTAATATTTTCTAAATCAATCCAATTTAATCCGTTAATAAAATTTTTAAACCAATCTAATCCACTATTATATGATAACCAAATCAATTCAACTTAAATCGGATCGGTGTGATTCGGTCGGATTAATCGGTTTTTAACATTATTAAATATATAAGATAATATAAAAATATTTTAACATCAAATAAAAAACATAACTATAAAACACATTAACATCCAAATAAGTAAAAACATAATAAAAGGTATAAATTATAAACAAGTTCTTATACTCCTTTACATTTGTAAAAATTGAAAAGATTCAAAATTTTTTCTGCGTTACATCACTAGAGGTATCAAGAACAACAAAAAATGACTTCAAATTTATAGTATAGTGTAAATAATTCTTAAAGGTTAAAATTAGTTTTTTTTCTTAATGCACTAATAATTTAATCCCATCTTATAAATTCTGTTATAAATAAAAACATAATAAAAGGTATAAATTATAAACAAGTTCTTATACTCCTTTACATTTGTAAAAATTGAAAAAATTCATAATTTTTTCTGCGTTACATCACTAGAGGTATCAAGAACAACAAAAAATGACTTCAAATTTATAGTATAGTGTAAATAATTCTTAAAGGTTAAAATTAGTTTTTTTTTCTTAATGCACTAATAATTTAATACCATCTTATAAATTCTGTTATAAGTGAATAAAATTTAACATGAATATCACTAAAATTGATTAGAAGCATTCATAATCAAAATTTAAAATTTCTAAACTAAATATCTAAGAATAGTAGAATATCAAGACTAGTTTTATTATATAGTTTCAAGACTTTTAGAATGATATTTCTTTAAAACTTACTTAGGAGAATCATAATATTATTTTAGGAATAAATTAGAAATTTAAGGTTTTAAGAGTAGAGGTGCAAATAAGTTATGATAGGATAAAGTTGCGGGTGAATTAAAAATTTAGAATTAGGATTAAAGTGCATGATTAAAATAGAAAAACAACTTAGGGAATATGGAGATATTTTATTTTTATTTTTTAATTAAGTTAATGGAGTTATTATCTTATAAAATAAGAAAAAGAAATTTTAAAATACTACAAAAAATTATTATATTATTTAATTAAGTTATCTTATAATCAGATTTTATTTTATAATCAAATAGTTCAGGCAGTTTAAAAATAAAATCACAAACCAAACCAATTATATCGGTTTTAAAATTTTATAATTCAAACCAATCTAATTTTATATTGGTTTGGATTGGTTTTTAATTGGATTGGATCAATTTAGGTCGGATCAATCGAATTGGATCGGATATAAACACCCCTACTTATAATTGACTTTAGCTCCCTATAGTCGATTGGATGGCATTTTTAAAATTAATTTTGAACTCTCAACTCTTCAAGTGCTTTTACTTTATAGTCAACTATGGTTTCTTAAAGTTGACTCTTTAGCTTCTATAATCAATTTTATCTTCCTTTAGTCATTTTTATAGCAAACCATGAGCATGTTTCAAACTTTTTGTGTTAATCATCCAATATTCCTCTTTAGTTAACTTTGGTCGTGTAAAGTTGACTTTACTGCTTCTATGGTTGACTTTGGCCTCTTTTAGTTGATTTCATGGCAAAGTTATAAATAATTTGATTTTTTTTTTCAAAGATTTTAACCTTCAACTTTCATTATAGTTGACTTTAACATCCTAAAGTTGACTCCGCATAAATTTATTCTTCAATAGTTGACTCTATCTTCCTTTAGTCAAATGAATGCTAGATTATTCATATTTTTCATCCTTTCTAAATAGCTTTTGACACTTTAAACAAATTAAAATATTTTGCACAATTGCACAAAACTCATTAAACTTTTTAACAATGGTTTTATTAACATCAAAATCATTATAAGAGCTCAATAGAATGCTAATTTCTTTGTCAATGTATGTATTTTTGCTTGTCATCACCTACTATATATATTTTTTGTCCTTGAATTTCATTTAATTTCAAAATTGATTTTGTTAATGGAAAAAGAAGTTGGGCAATTGGAATTGGATTTGATTTGTAGGGATTTGAAGGAGAGATTGAAGGTGATCGAGACATTGATGGGCTTGCTTTTTAGGTTGGATTTTGTGAGAGGAGTGGACTCTGGGGTTAGGGATTCAATGCTTCCAAAAGTTTTGCATAGAGAATAAGAATTAGGAGAGAAGAAGATGAAGGGCATTTTGGTCATTTAGGTTTTAAATTTATTTTTTATTAAAATTTTCAAATCCACATTTTTTTAAAAGTTTATTTTCCATATCATAGTAAATGTGTTTAATTTTTTGACATGGCGTAATTCTCCTTTAAAGCAATGGGGCACGTTAGGTTTTTTTCATGAAAGAATCAACTTGAAGCAAAAATTAAAAACTTTAAGAACCACACTAGGGATTTTTTAAGCTCATGAACTAACCCAGTCTATGTAATAGTTGAGGAACCTAGTTGGGAGTTTAACCATTACATTATGCGGGTTCCTCGAACTTTAGTCCAAGGCCATCGTAAATCAATTGTCACAAGAACAT